GAAGTGTCCTGCCCATGGGTTCCAGGTGCCAACCACCTCCCAGCACATCCCTGGCCCTCCAGGAGTGTCCTGCCCGTGGGTTCCACGGAGTCACCCTCTGCTTTCTGTCACCAGGCTGGCAGTGGAGGGGCTCCAACAGATCCATTGCCTCCTCTTTTCCCAGGTTTTTTCCACATCCCGGGGCTCAGCCGGTGTTTTTTCACTCCTTCTTTAGTCCTTCAGCCCCACCTAGTGCTAAAGCCAAAGAAAAAACCTTGTTCTTTAATTAAGCCAAATAAAAAGCCTTTTTTCCCATCCCTGGAAGTGTCCAAGGCCGGGTTTGGAGCAACCTGAGCTAGTGGAAGGTGTCCCTGCCCACGGCAGGGGTGGAATGGGATGATTTGAAGGTGCCTTCCAACTCAAACCACGCTGGGATTCTTTCACCAGCCCTAAAGTCCAAAGCAAAGCATGACTCCTTTGCTTTGCAGGGAATTCTGCAGCTCCTGGGCCTCTGCAGAGGGGTTTTGGTGAAAATGATGCCCCAGAAAAAGGGTTTTGCAGCCTGTGCTTGGAGAAATGTAGAGGCAAAACACCATCATCACCTGGTTTAGTAAATACTGCCTGGCAACCCTACACAAACATGTTCTCCATCCTGCCTTCTCAAAAAATTACAACATTTAAAATGTTCTTGAGCCCTTAAACACAAATCACTTGGAAATACTGCATTTTTCAGTTGCTCTAGTCCTAATTAGGGTGGAGGAAAACATTTTCTCTCCCCCCCCCCCATTAGAAGTGTCTTTTGGTAGAAATGTTATTTGGAAATGGAAAATTTTAAAGGCAATAATTTTTCAAAGCCAGGGCTTCTGTTCTCCTTCCCATCACCTTGCCTTAAATGCAAACAAAGATCAAGAGGACGGACACGTTACATTTAAATCGTATTAAACTGGGATCAAAACCTGAATTTATTCCCTAACATTTGCTAAAACATCACAGAGCAATGACAGGCACGAGAACAGAAAGGTTTGCTGTCGACCTTCCAGCAGCCCTGATTTTTATTTCCCTGCCACGAACATGAGATTAGATCATCCATTATCAACCTCTGAGGCTACACAAATTTGTCAAGTGTTCTGCAGCAAATTCCTGCTGCAGCAAAGCTGAGAATTCGGGAAGAAATCTTCTGTGGTTCCCATTCCCAACACGTGAATTTGGGCTGTTCACTTGGGAGGGTTGGGAGGGTCCCTCCCTGGCATTTCCACTCTAAATAAACTGCATTTGGAGTCCTGCAGCCCTCTGGGCTCTGACTTACTCTGTTATCACATCAGACTTTTCATACTCACACAGACTTGCAGGTACTCGCTGTGGAAACAAATGTACTGGGCTCTGGGTAATTCCCAGCATAATTTAAGCACTAATTAAACAAAATGGATTTTTATCATGGTTCTTAAATATTTACCCAGTGCAAGGAACATCCCCCAAGATCACCACAGGAGGAACAGGAGAGTGATGCAATGTTGTGCCTTAGTTAAGACAAAGGACAACACTGCCCAGAGAGCAAGTCCATGCAAACCAACTTGGATTTTATCAAAGTGATTAATTCTTTTTCTCACTGAATGGCTAAATCCTCCCACGCTGACCAAAGGCAGATGAATGTGAGCAGCAGGGACGGATCTTTGGTTCTGTGCTGCCCCCAGCTGTCCTTAATGTAATCCTGAACTCAGAGACAAAGGTTCAGAGGTGATGGTCAAGGGCAGCACCACTGCAAAGTCAGATTAGAGCAAATATAACTTGCATAATTAGTATTTTCTCAGGATCAAACCCTACCTGTACACTGGAGTCACAGCACAAGCTTTGGCTCTCCCCAGGCCCCGCTGCCAAGAGATGGAGCTTCCTCTCCACACCCTCAATTTAAAAGGTACCACCCTCCCTTCCACCAGAAACATTGATGAGATTGTTCCTCACCTCCTGCAGGCAGAGTGAGATTCATTTAATTGAACTGATTAGCTCTTTAGGCTACCTTGGGTGATTCTGCCCAGCAGAGCTTCCCTTTGGTGACAATTCTCCAGGAGTTTAGATGAGCAGTTGACCTTTGGAACTCTGAGCTTCCCTTTGAGAACTGCCCTGCAGGAAAACCAGGGGTGCTGTGCAAGCTAAAGCTCCATTTTTTGGTGCCTTCCAGGTGATATTTGCCACAAGTTTCAGGGTGTGATCACATGTTTGATCAAACCTCGTGCCCCATCTGTGTCACTTCAAAACAGGACTTGAGGTTCACCACTGAACACAGACAGGTTTGAGGATTAACATGAAACCAGCTCATTCTATGTGGCTTTTTTTGCCAAAACCTTCCCTCAGGTAGATCCCAGAGAGGATTAGGTACCTACTCAGAGATTTTTTTCTAAAAGCCAGGCCCATCTAGGCAGCTGAGCTGTGCCAGGGCTGGCAGCACCTCTCCTGGATCCTCTCTGCCCAGCTGGGACAGCAGCAGTGCCCTCAGAGGGCTGTGGCTTTGTTTCAGCACAAAATTGCTCAAAACATCTGCAGTGTTGCTTGAAGGAGCTTGTTTGACAGAGCCCTAAAACAGACTGGGAGCATTCCAGTCACCAACTGCATCTGTGCTGGGAGAAACCTTAAGAAAGGCTGGAATCCTGCTTAGGAAAAGCAGGCAGCAGTTAAGGGATACTCCAGGGCTGTGCACAACTGTCGGCTGACACTGCTGTGTAAACACGTTAATATTTAATAACATGTTAATATTTTAATAATGTTCAATGCAAAATCACCTTCTCTGGTCTCTGATATAGTGAGCCAATGTGGTAAATCTGACAGGGAAGTTTTCCAAGAGCCTTTTCAGCCAGGAGAACCAGCATTTCCACAGCAATGGAAACAAACTCTGGGCCTGGAAGCTGCCAAGGACTCCTTGGAGATGCCATGGACTCCTTGGCATCCCTGTAGATGCCAAGCATCTGCAGCTTCACCTCCTCTGGAGGCAGAAGAGTTCCCAGGTGCCAGCCCAGGACTCCTCTGAGGGAGCTCCAGGAGGTGTTTGGTCCATGTTACAGAACGTGCTGAGCTGGGAGGGACC